AGTGCTGGGATTACAGGAGTGAGCCACCACGCCCGGCCTGCAATCATATTTCAATGGTTTATGCAATTGTGTATTAAATTTAATAATTACAACACAAGTGTAAGTTATCATAAAATGATTCTTGGCATGGCTATAATTCAACTGGTGGGAGCAATGTGATGAGCATCAGTCAGTATGGCTTATAAAGAGAGAATGCAGAATCCAGTGAGTTGATTACGTACAGATTTGTCAACCATTATCCCTGTTATAAAAAATCTAAATTCACTTCTTACTGCTTTTGTGGTACTTTTGGAACAGTACCTGGCACATAGTACTATAAGTATTTGCTACTATATTAGCATTGATATTCAACTAGGTACAAGTAACAATGAATGCAAGGGTGAAATTCTACCTACTTTACATGGTCTCCAGAACTGCTGAGACTATCTGTACTTAAACTGCCAAAAGGGAGCAGTATGTGGAATACAACTGCAACAGGTTGATTGAAAACATATGAATTCAAGATATAGTCAGTTTCACATTACTAGCAGTAGATTATCCTGTGCTTACAGGAAGAGATCTTAAAAAAGAGGTAGGAGAACTCACATGTCAGGTCAACAAGACATAACAATTAACCCTTATTACCTCAAAACTACTAAGAGGATGGCTTCAGGTCCTCCTAAAAAGGGACAGCTAGACTAGGGGAGCCCACTATAGACTTTTCAGTGCACATTATGCTACTCCCCCACTCATCAATTCATGAATAACAGAAGACATTCATCTTTTAAACAAAGGCCAAATAATGCATCCCAAAGCCCAAAACAAATGACTTTTGGTTTATCGTTACAATGAAGTGAATATGCTAATCAAGAAACTGAGTACATATAAACACACCATGCAAGAAAATTAAAAATTTGCACCATGGCTGGGCGCAGTGGCTCATGCCTGTAATCCCAGCACTTTGGGAGGCCGAGCCAGGTGGATCACAACATCAAGAGACCAAGACCATCCTGGCCAACATGGTGAAACCCCATCTCTACTAAAAGTACAAAAAATTAGCCAGGCGTGGTGGTGCGTGCCTGCTGTCCTGGCTACTCCGGAGGCTGAGACAGAATTGCTTGAAACCGGAAAACGGAAGTTGCAGTGAGCCAGGATCGCACCACTGCACTCCAGCCTGGCGATAGAGTGAAACTCTGTCTCAAAAAAAAAAAAAAATTTGCACCATGCAAGAAAATTAGAAACAAAAAAAAAAAAAAAGAAAAACCTAAATACAGGTAATGAGCAACTTAAATATAACAGATATGGAAAGCTGGCCATTTTGTTTTAGTCTAAGTAATGGAGTGTATTATCTAATTTGCAGGTGGAAAAAACTTGAAGTTATGTAACAGAAGATCTACAATAACCAAAAAGTTCAAAGACTATAACTACCTGTATCACTCTTGTCCACTAGGAAAGAATCCGCAGTGACACTGACTTTCTTCCTTCTATGGACATCAAAAAGTACTGAAAATATTATGGTTAGGAGAGACTCAAGAGACAGCCAAGGAGGCTGAACCAGTCCCACTAGATGGCACCATCACAGGGAAGTCACTCTGTTCTCTCATTTGGAGCTGCAGGGGCTGAAATCTTTTTTGATCTTTGAAAAACTGAATGCTGTCATCAACAAAATGATATTCTCATTGGGAAATAATGATCCGAAATGAGAATTCAAAGCCAGGAAGAGGAGTTTTTCCAAAAGCACCCTTTTCTCCCAGTATCATTATCCCTTCCCCACTCCCATTTCAAATCAATAGTCTGAGAGGTACAATGTCTTACTGTTAAAAACAAGTCATACAAAATGGAGATTTTCCCAGCTCTGCAAACTACAGAATAATTCACTTTTTTCTTCAAGTTTCTTTGTTATTGGAAAAAAAATACTCTCCTGCTAGTCCTCAAATAACAAATTAATTATAATCAGTACATTTACCATGTCTGGAAACATCAAAATAACATACAACTAATGGCATAAAAACAACTGGAAATAAAGCTGGGCACTGTGGCTCACACCTGTAATCCCAGCACTTCAGGAGGCCAAGGCAGGTGGATCATTTGAGGTCAGGAGTTCAAGACTAGCCTGGTCAACATAGTAAAACCCCATCTCTACTAAAAATAAAAAAATTAGCAGGGTGGTAGTGGTGAGCACCTGTAATCCCAGCTACCTGGGAGGCTGAGGCAGGAGAACCACTTGAGACTGGGAGGCAGAGGTTAAGGTGAGCCAAGATCACACCACTGCACTCCAGCCTGGGCTAGAGAGTGAGACCCTCTCAAAAACAAACAAACAAAAAAACTAGAAGTACATAAATTTCTTTTTCTGTACAGAGAACTCTATGTTAAAAGTAGAATTTCCTATTAAACAGATTGGTTACTGTATTAAAGTTTTCTGACACCTTAGTCACATGATTTTAAGTTGCGTCTGGACAGCAGCATTTTGAATGTCACTCATTCCTATCACTTATGCTATACTCCATCAAAAGTATACTTGGATACACCCATTATGAACCTAAAAACAGAGTAATGACAACCCCAACAACAAAGATAAGTGAGCTTAAACTATGAACAATTTGAATACAAACTTACTAACTTATGGAGGGGGAGGCAGGCCACATTTAAACAGACAGGTCTGGATATTAGCTTTATGCTCAATCTTCAAGTTAAAAGACACATCGGAGGTCATTTAGACATCAATTTAGTACTCACATATATAGCTCACTTCTACTTGAAGCTACTTCACCTAGATCAGAGGGTTTACGTTTGTACATGTAACTTCAATATACAATGTCTAGGGGTATAGCCACTTTAAAGTGCCACAAAAGTAAATTAAGTGGCCAAAGAAATTGAGAATTAATATGTAACAAATCCTGTGTTCCCACAGATCTCATCACAATATCATCTCTCTGCATACTGCAGGTGTGGAGGCCCTGTGTTCAAGCATCAACCCTAACACCTTACACAATGCCTAGCATAGAGTAGGTGCTCAGTATTTGCTGAATAAACAAAAACTATCAAGCTGGCCGGGCATGGTGGTGGCTCACACCTGTAATTCCAACTCTGTGGGAGTATGAGGCGGGCAGATCACTTGAGATCAGGAGTTCAAGACCCAGCCTGGCCAACATGGTGAAACCCCCTCTCTACTAAAAATATAAAAAATCAGCCAGATGTGGCGGTGCATTCCTGTAATCAAAGATATTTTGGAGGCTGAGGCAGGAGAATCACTTGACCCAGGAGGCAGATGCTGCAGCGAGGTGAGATCAACATCACACCACTGCACTCCAGCCTGGGAGACAGAGCAAGGCTCTGTCTCAAAAAACAAACACCTATCAAGCTATCCCAGCTCACCAAAACAGTGAGACTCATCAAAGAAGCCCATTTTTCCAACAAAACCTCAACATGCCTTCTCCTTGAAGAAGCTACTAAGTAAAGCATGAGATTAATACCCAGGTTACCATGAGACAGGACTTCTTGGAAAGCACAGAAAGAAATCTTGTATCACACTGGTTTAAGATCAAAAGCTCCACCAGTGCAGTGGTTCACAACTGTAACCCCGCACTTTGGGAAGCCAAGGCAGGTGGATCACCTGAGGTTAGGCATTCAAAACCATCCTGGCCAAAACAGTGAAACCGCATCTCTACTAAAAATACAAAAATCAGCTGGGCATGGTGATAAGCGCCTGTAATCCCAGCTACTACTCGGGAGGCTGAGGCAGAATCACTTGAACTAGGGAAGCAGAGGTTGTAGTAAGCCGAGATTGCACCACTGCACTCCAGCCTGGGCCACAGAGCGAAACTCCATCTCAAAAAGAAAATCAAAAGCTCATACATTCACACATCTCAAGCCCAAAAAATGTGATCTTAGATCAATGAAGCTTTTTTTCTTTTTTAATTGAGATGGAGTTTCGCTCGTTACCCAGGCTGGAGTGCAATGGCACGATCTCAGCTCACCACAACCTCCGCCTCCTGGGTTTAGGCAATTCTCCTGCCTCAGCCTCCTGAAATGAAGCTTTTAAATAAAATTTTGTAAATATACTTTATATGCTGTATTAAAATCAAATTTTTTTTTTTTTTTGAGATCGAGTTTCGCTCGTTACCCAGGCTGGAGTGCAATGGCACGACCTCGGCTCACTGCAATCTCTGCCTCCTGGGTTCAGGCAATTCTCCTGCCTCAGCCTCCCGAGTAGCTGGGAGTACAGGCACGCGCCACCATGCCCAGCTAATTTTTTGTATTTTTAGTAGAGACAGGGTTTCACGATGTTGACCAGAATGGTCTCGATCTCTTGACCTTGTGATCCACCTGCCTCGGCCTCTCAAAGTGCTGGGATTACAGGTGTGAGCCACCGCGCCTGGCTAAAACCAATTTTTTTACACACTGCACTAAAATCATCCTATGAGAGCGGAGGGGTGGACTAGAGGGTACATAAGGATGCACAGGAAACTATAACATTGCTTAACTTCACACTTGCCTGTTAATGGGGGCCTAATCTAATATTACGCTCTCATGCCAAAAATAAAAACTAAGAAGGAAGAATGAGAAGAGCAAGAAAGCAGTCTGGGGACAACCAGTAAGACCCTAGAGACTTCAGATAGGCCAATTTTTCAATACTCTACCATATAAATACCCTCAAAGTCCAATGTAACAAAACTATGCAATGCCTTATAATTAACAGTTTTTTTTCTGAACGACTAACAAGTTTCAAGAAAATATGGCAGAGAATCTATACACACATCCTGTTTGTTTCCTTGTAACAAGAACCATGAGAAACCTCTCCTATTAAAAAGAAAAATATATTCCCATATAGAACATTTTCAAACATATTATATTAAATGACTACTGGAATAAATGGGAGGATCTAAAAGTTCATTGAAATTAAGACCCAAATCTTCTCCCCTGCAATCTATCAGAAGGGTCTACTCAAATTGCCCTTAATCATTTTTAAAAAGTGTTTACATTAGAATATGAATAGCATTCATTATCATCATTTTACTCACCTTACTAACACCTACTCCAGTAAACCTGGCCTCCAATAATTCCTGCCGTCGTGGGTCCAGGCTATGCAATTCTTCCATCATTTCTACTAAAAAAGAAAAAGTAGGCTGTGAAACCATAAACATTAAAATATGAGGAGGCAATACTTAGTAGAACAAAACTCACAGTAATTATTTCACTGAATGATCACTTACAGGTGAATCTCAAATAAATATAGCATATAAGTGGTACACTACTATGTGCTGCATCAAACAGTAATACATTTAAAAGTTCTAAAGCAGCTTAGAAGTCCTCTTCTATGATAGCCACTTATTTTTTCCTACTTCTGATTTGATTTTAACAGCAAAAATAAACCCCTCAAACTCTTCATATAATCTCTGTAAAAGTTGACCACAGGGGGAAAAACAAAACAAGAACTAGCCTGCAAAAAGAAAATTCCTTCTGTCAGCATTTGAATCTAGCTAAGTACCTTCAGATATTTATTTCCCACTCAGGAACTAGTCCTTACACTAAAAATATGAATCATGGACAATAATTTCAAAAGAATATAGCATGAATCAGAAGCTACAAATAACTGCAAAAACACTATTATACATCTCCTTTCTCTCAAGAGCTCACAGTAGCTCATGAAAAAAGGAATTATTTTAAATTTAATAGAAACCCCATGGTAAAACCATCCACCTCCATTCACTCAGGAAATTAATATAGCTCCGTAACAGTCCCTTTAAAAAGTCTTTTTTTGACCACTCCCTGGAACAGTAGGTTTCTCCTGATTCTGGACATCTGCTTTTAGCACTTCTTCCAAGCAGGGAGGGGCAGGAGGACACCATTTTTAAACTTCCATGACCAATTAATGCACAGGCTACTTTCAGCAAACATGTCCATCCTTTGCAAGAGACCAACTCCTGCACGACCCATTGAAAACCTCTCTTTAATAGTAACAGTGGAAAAGAAGCAGATATCATTACATAGAACCCCTGTGAACACATTATTAAGCAGTTGGAACGGTTGGTGTGATTTTAAAGTTACTGAAAACATTAATCGAACATTCTCCTCTGCAATCCAACAACTCCACAATCTCCAGTAATAACCCCCTTACAAGTCCTTCAGTTTCATTTCCCTTCCTGGATTGAGAGCCTGGGGCAAAAGGGAATGGAAGGGTGACAAATTAAAGTTTCACCTACACATGCAAGTGCAGGTTAGAGAGGAATTAGGAAATTCTCAGAAAGGCTGAAATGCATCTTTACAAAAAGAAAAAGAAGGGGGGAAAAAAGAGACTGGGAGAGTGAGTTTCCACTGAGTGGCCTTCCTCGCATCTTGCCCTGCCCTAATCGAGGTCAGAATGGCAGAGGTTGCAGTTTCTCCCAAACCCCAAGGTCTCGCAACATTTCCCAAACCTCCATCCCCAGGCCTGGCCCGGAAAATGACGCCCGGGCGGTTATTCCGTTTAATGTCAACTCATGTTAAGGAAACAGCTACTCCGTCTAATTCCAAGGGGCCTTTGACTGGGATCCTCCCTGCAGCCCACAGCCGGGAAGCAGGAGGGATGGGGCCTGGTCCCGACGCCCCTCGCCGGCTCCAAACTTTCCCCAACTCCAGGCCCACCTGTCACCGAGGAAGGGAGGGCCGGCTGTCGGGGGATCCCGGGTGGCTGCCAGGGCCTCCAGCTGCCGGGTCGCCCCCGTCTCTCCTCCGGCCGCCGGCCCCAATCTCAGGCCGGGGCCGCCGGGGCCTCCCACATCTTCGGCCCAGCCCCTCGGCGACCCGCAGCCCTCGGGGAGCGCCTCCCGCCTCAGCGCCCAGGAGCTGCGGTCCAGAGCCGGCCCAGTGTTGGGCCCAGGTCGCAGGCTCCTTAGGCCAAAGGGGTCCCTGGGACAGTTAATGCCCCAGGCCCGGCGCTCTCCCCGGCCCGGGGCTCAGCCTCTCACCTGCCGCCGCCGCCGCTCCACGCTCCTCCCGGGAGGGGCCCCGACCCGACCCGGCTGCGGTACGCTCTGCTCTTCCCCTGGGCAGGCCCGGGGCGGAGCCGGGGCCTCTCCTGGGCGCCGCAACCCCCCGCCCGGGCAGCCGCCGCCGGCGCCGGGCTCCACGAGAGGGCGGGCGGGGGAGGGGGGCCGCGAAGGCCGCAGATCCCCGGGCTCGCGTACAGAGCCAGGCGCCCGACGCGGGCCCGGGCCCGGGCGGCCGCGGGGGGCGCGGGACCGGCCTCCTGGCGCCGGACAAAGGCCAAGGGAGGCGCAGGAGGGCCCAGGCCGGGCCGGGAGGTGCGGGCCCGTTCGGCTGGGGGCCACTCGGGTGCCGCGCGGAGGGCGGGGGGTCGGAACCGCTGGTGCCCGGGACCCGCCTCCGGCCCCTTAATCCGGATCGGTTCGGTCCGGATTAGTAGTGATCGGTGTAAACACACTAGTGAAACCGCGTGTTTCCTCGCGAGATTTGCACGGCTGGGAGGCGGGGGGGTCCTGGGGGGTGGGGGAAGCGCCGACAGTGGGGGAGGAGGGGGAGGGGAGGAGGAAGGTGTGTGTGGGGGGGGTCCCCGCTGCCCCGGCGCCCCGCCTCCTCCAATCAGCGACCGCGCTGCCGGGCAGGGGTTAACCAGGGGACCCCGCGTCGGCAGAGGAGGCCGCGCCTCGCCGGGCGGCTGAGGGCGGTCGACGGGCGGCGCCTGCTGACGGGCCGCGACGGGAGGGAGGTCAGGAGGACCCGGCGCCTTGCGACGGCCGGAGGCCCGAAGGCCCCGCCACTGCCTTTGTGTCACCGGCCCCCGCCCCGGGGCTGTTGGGCCGGCGCTGGAGGGGCTTGGCCGCCCGAGCTCACCAGTTTCGGAATCCTGCTCGCCGGCGCCGGCGCCCGCCCAACCCCTGCCCAACCCCTCGGCTCCACGAGTTTGGGTGAGAAGTGCGGCGGCTGTGCCCGGGGATGGAGTTTAGAGGACGCTAAGCCTATGTGCGAACGGCAGACCCCGTCGGGACTTCCCGAGGCTCCCAGTGAGGCGGCGGCGCCCACCCGCGTTCGTGGGCTCCCGGCCGCCACTCCCTGGAGCCGCCGGCCCGCCCCAGCCCCGTGCGGCGCCCGGGAGGGCGGGCTGCACTTCCTCCACGTACCTGGCTGGCAGACGGTCTCCAGGGACAAAAGGTGTCCTGGGATCAAAGCGGAGCCCCTGCCCCCGCCGGAATGCTGCCCTCCGGAAGGAGGGGCGCTGCCCCCAAGGGACTCTCCCCGGGCACCCTGGGGGAGGTTCCATTTCAACCTCCGATGAAAAACATGGCCCTCCCGGGTACTTAGGGTCTGAGGGTAAGAGCCAGGATGGAGAAAACACGCCGGCCCCTCACAGAGTATCTCTTGAGGAATGAGAAATACCTAGTGGGAAAGGAGGGCTTCCACTCTGATCATCCAGCGTCCAGGAAAACAAAAATCTCACTTCTCCACTGGCTCCCCTGAGCCAGGACAGGCTCCAGTGCAGCCACCCACCTTTTAATTGTCCGCGGATGCTGCCTTGATCAGATGTCTGAAGATGACTTTAAGGACTACAAGTGAATCTCAAGGGAAAAATTCAGACCTTGAACTTGAACTTTTTCGGGGTTAAGCAAGTACTCTCAAGTGGAGTTTCTGCCCTTCTTTATTACTTCTCTTAATTCTTCCATATATTAACAGAACACAAACATGCCGAAACGACACAGGATGGCGGCGTCCTTTTTGTTAGTTAACCAACCTTCTAAATCTTTGGGGCACATTCAAGCACTGTGGAAAAACTCCATTAAACTAAGAGTCATCTTCCTCCGGATCCCAGACTGCTTGGGAAGTTGGACATGTATATTCCCAAAGAGAACAGTGTTGGAAGGAGAGAGGATAGCAGCTCGGGGGTGGGTGACGGAGGGTAGGGAAAAAGGGCAAGATGGAGGACTGCCATGCAAGGCCAGCCTCCGCTGCCTGATAGGGCGGGAGAACCTAAGAGCTGGTCCAACCTAACACAAAAGAAAAGCCAGTGAGGCTAGGTCTTTAGTTGCAGCCAATGATCAAGTAAGTAACTCCGTCAAATGACAGTCTTTTTTTTTTGAGACGGAGTTTCGCTCCTGTTACCCAGGCTGTAATGCAATGGTGCGATCTCGGCGCACCGCAACCTCCGCCTCCTGGGTTCAGGCAATTCTCTTGTCTCAGCTTCCTGAATAGCTGGGATTACAGGCACGCGCCACCATGCCCAGCTAATTTTTTAAAAAGTTACTGTTTTTTTCTGAGAGGGAGTTTCACTTTGTTGCCCAGGCTGGAATGCAGTGGCGCGATTTCTGCTCACTGCAACCTCCGTTTACCGGGTTCAAGCAATTCTCCCTGCCTCAGCCTCCTGAGTAGCTGGGATTAAAAACGCCCACCATCACACCCGGCTTTTTTTTTTTTTTTTTTTTTTTGTAGAGTCAGGGTTTTTCCATGTTGGCCAGGCTGGTCTCGAATTCTTTACCTCAGGTGATCCACTCAATTCCGCCTCCCAAAGTGCTGGGATTACAGGCGTGAGCCAGCCACAGTGCTCCACCAAATGACACTATGTTTAATGGTGTAAAGTCTTAGGAAAGGAGAGTAAGAGAAAACAGTGGAGTCAGAGGGGTCTTACAGCCTAGCTCTTTCCATTGACAAGCGGAACGGGCCTGTTATCCTAACCTTTTAAAGCTTCTCCAACTGCTAATGTGATGGAGGGATTTGGGCTAAAGGATCTTTTTTTTTTTTTTTTTTTTTTTAAATGAGACAGTCTTCCTCTGTCCCCGGGCTGGAGTGCAGTGGCGTGATCTCGGCTCACTGCAACCTCCACCTCCTAAATTCAAACAGTTCCCCTGCCTCGGCCTCCTGAGTGCTGGGACTAGAGGCATGCGCCACGACGCCCGGCTAATTTTTTGTATTTTAGTAGAGACGAGGTTTCACCATGTTGGCCAGGATGGTCTCCATCTGCTGACCTCGTGATCCACCTGCCTGGAGCACAGTGGCTGGCTCACGCCTGGCCTCCCAAAGTGCTAGGATTACGTTTATGAACCACTGCACCCAGCCTATGATCCCGTATTTTAAAGTAATTATTTAGGCTGGGCATGATGGCTCACACCTGTAATACCAGCACTCTGGGAGGCCAAAGCGAGTGGATCACTTAAGGCCAGGAGTTCAAGACCAGCTTGGCCAACATAGTGAAACCCTGTGTCTACTAAAAATAGGAAAATTAGCTGGGCGTGGTGGCACATGCCTGTAGTCTCAGCTACTTGAGAGGTTAACACAGAATAATCACTTGAACCCAGAAGGCGGAGGTTGCAGTGAGCTAAATTGGCACCACTGCACTCCAGTCTGGGCAACAGAGACCCTGTCTCAAAAATAATAAAATAAAAGTAATTATTTAAAATAATTATTGGGCCAGGCAAGGTGGCTGACACCTGTAATCCTAGCAGTTTGGGAGGCCAAGGCGGTGGGATCATTTGAGGTCAGGAGTTCAAGACCAGTCTGGCCACTATGATGAAGCCCTGTCTCTACTAAAAATATTTTTTTAATTAGCTGGATGTGGTGGCAGGCACCTGTAATCCCAACTACTCAGGAGACTGAGGCAGGAGAATCACTTGAACCCGGGAGGCAGAGGTTGCAGTGAGCCAAGATGGCCCCATTGCAGTCCAGCCTGGCGACAGAACAAGACTATCTCAAAAAAAAAAAAAAAAAAAAAAATCAGGCCAGGTGCGGTGGCTCACGCCTGTAATCCTAGCACTTTGGGAGGCTGAGGTGGGTGGATCACCTTACATCAGGAGTTCGAGACCAGCCTAACATGGAGAAACTCCGCCTCTACTAAAAATACAGAAATTAGGGCCGGGTGGTGGCATGTGCCTGTAATCCCAGCTACTCGGGTGGCTGAGCCAAGGGAATCGCTTGAACCCAGGAGGTGGAGGTTGCTGTGAGCCGAGATTGTGCCATTGCACTCCAGCCTGGCAACAAGTCATTCAGTGGTACCACTTCTTTTTTTTTTTTTTAAGACAGTGTCTTGCTCTGTTTTCTAGGCTGGAGTCAGTGGCACAATGCCAGCTCAAAACAACCTCTGCCTCCCGGGTTCAAGCACTTCTGCTTTAGCCTCCCAAGTAGCTGGACTTACAGGCATGCACCATCATGCCTGGCTAATTTTTGTATTTTTAATGGAGTTAGGGTTTCACCATATTGGCCAGGCTGGTCCTGAACACCTGACCTTGTGATCCACCCTCCCCCAGCCTCCCAAAGTGCTATGATGACAGGTGTGAGCCACTGTGCCTCACTTTTTTTTTTTTTTGAGATGGAGTCTCACTTTGTCGCCTGGGCTGGAGTGTGTGTGATCTCAGATCACTGCAACCTCCACCTCCTGGATTCAAGCAGTTCTGTCTCAGCCTCCTGGGTAGCTGGCATTACAGGCACACCCCACCACACCCAGCTAATTTTTTGTATTTTTAGTAGAGACAGGGTTTCACCCTGTTGGCCAGGCTGGTCTGGAACTCCTGACCTGATACTTCACCTGCCTTGGCCTCCCAAAGTGCTGGGATTACAGGCATGAGTCACCATGCCCAGCTGTGTAGTACTACTTTTTTCATAGAAGAATAAGGATTTGGTGGCTGGGTGCGGTGGCTCACGCCTGTAATCCCAGTACTTTGGGAGGCTGAGGTGGGTGGATCACCTGAAGTCAAGACCAGCCTGGCCAACATGGTGAAACTCCGTCTCTACTAAAAATACAAAAATTAGCCAGGCATGGTGGCGCATTCCTGCAGTCCCAGCTACATGGGATGCTGAGGCAGGAGAGTTGCTTGAACCCAGGAGGCGGAGGTTGCAGTGAGCCGAGATCATACCACTGCACTCCAGCCTGGGCGACAGAGTAATATTGCATACTCTGTCTAAAAAAAAAAAAATTAGAAATCACCTAATCTATTTATGTACTCCCAAATCTGAGAAAGGGTTTCTAGTGGTATGAAGAAATGGGAATTTTGTGAGGGCAGTAATTTCATTATAAATTAACAAGCCAAGGCCGGGCGTGGTGGCTCACACCTATAATCCCAGCACTTTGGGAGGCTGAGACGGGTGGATCACAAGGTCAAGAGATCGCGACCATCCTGGTCAACATGGTGAAACCCCATCTCTACTAAAAATACAAAAATTAGCTGGGCATGGTGGCACATGCCTGTAGTCCCAGCTACTCAGGAGGCTGAGGCAGGAGAATTGCTTGAACCCAGGAGACGGAGGTTGCGGTGAGCCGAGATCACGCCATTGCACTCCAGCCTGGGTAACAAGAGCAAAACTCTGTCTCAAAAAAAAAAAAAAAATAGTAATAATAATAAAATAAATTAACAGGTCAGTGTAGAACAGGTGGGGTATCTGTGGTCTGACAGAACTGGAACCCAAAGTT